AGAGAAGAGTGATTAATCCTTTTACATAATGATAGAAGAGTGATTAATCTTTATTACATAATGAGAGAAGAGTGATTAATCCTTTTACATAATGATAGAAGAGTGATTAATCTTTATTACATAATGAGAGAAGAGTGATTAATCCTTTTACATAATGATAGAAGAGTGATTAATCCCTTTACATAATGATAGAAGAGTGATTAATCTTTATTACATAATGATAGAAGAGTGATTAATCTTGATTATCTAATGAGAGAAGCGTGATTAATCTTTATTACATAATGATAGAAGAGTAATTAAAGAGTAATTAATCTTTATAACATAATGATAGAAGAGTGATTAAACTTGATTACATAATGATAGAAGAGTGATTAATCTTTATTACATAATGATAGAAGAGTGATTAATCTTGATTACCTAATGAGAGAAGAGTGATTAATCTTTATTACATAATGAGAGAAGAGTGATTAATCTTTATTACATAATGATAGAAGAGTGATTAATCTTGATTACCTAATGAGAGAAGGGTGATTAATCTTTATTACATAATGATAGAAGAGTGATTAATCTTGATTACCTAATGAGAGAAGAGTGATTAATCTTTATCACATAATGATAGAAGAGTAATTAAAGAGTAATTAATCTTTATTACATAATGAAAGAAGAGTAAGTAAACTGATTACATGATGATACAAGAGTAATTACAACAAAATAATAAAAGCTTATCAAAGCTTTTAAAAAGGTCTAACATTAGGTCGAACAGTAACATTATTAGTATATTTATTGATATTATTAAGCACAGTAACGTTTAACCCTAACTAAACTAAAGCAAAAAACATACACAAGTTACAGTGTTAATTTCTATCTTTATCGAATATAGGCTGTACTTAATAAACACTTAACTAATGTTAGGCCTAAGACAAGTGGACTTCTGGATTTCGGAGTCTGCAATTAGAATTATTTTGTATTATTCTAGAAATCCTGTGTTTAAAGAAGTACTGTTGCAATAAAGATATTAATTTGACCCCAAATGTTTTGCGAGTCTCTGCTAGTAACTAAAATATTTTGCATACGGATTTGTAGGCGAGAAGAGGAACATTGATGAGTAGGGCAGCATTGGCTTTGGACCCGCTATTTCTTCATCTTCGTTTGTCCTATCTTCATCCACTTCGTTTCCATCATCGTCTGCAACAATAGCTCACGTTTAACGCTTAAGCTCCGAAACAACATGATAGCAACATTTAATAATAATAATAAAAGGTTGTGGGTAATTAACATCACTAAAGTTTAAAATAATCTTGTTAGTTTAGTTGTCCAATATATGCAAAAAACTAATCAACGCAACCATCACATTAAAACAAAGTCAAGAGAAATAGTAAGCTTATCGTCATGATTCTTAATTACACGTAACAGTTGTGTAGTTTCGTATTCAAATATGTATATCCATTTCTTTTCTCACCATCGTCTGAAAGATTAATATTTTCATTTGACTGTTCCTTCTCACTTTCCTGAAGAGCTAGTTTCTCCTGGCTGCATTTCTTGGTGTTCTCACCATCACTGTTGAGAGTAAAAAATTATTACGTAATAGCCTATTTTGTATAATTTCTTTAATATTTAATCTTACCATTTTCCGAAAATTATAATTACCGAAATGAAAAACAATATATTGCACTGAACTACAAAGATCATTTATCTATTTTTACTTGATTTCGAACTATATGCATATTTTCTTTAGATACTAGCTAACGTAAGATTGTAATTAGTCGTTAGTAAGTGACATAAAATCGTCTTATTTTTGGGTATCCTAATACATACGTGTAGATATATTTATACAAAGATAGTAACAAAAATACAATAACAGCAACTTTGACATTAGACAAGTTCTGATTCTAATGGTTACAATGTTTCGACCCATAGTATCGAGTCATTATCAAGAGAGATACAATCAAAAAGGCTGTTGGGTGGAGTTCCATCCGGACTCGTGATGGTGGGGACAAATTTATAGGTGGCGCTTTGTGATAGCTTGATACTGTGGGTCGAAACTTTTTAATTATTAAAATCGGAAGTTATCTAATATAAAATCTAAAAAAAAAAAATAATTATTATTCAGTTCAGTGGCTTCCTAACTCAACATTAAATATAATGACAGTACCAGTAAAAATAAATGTTAAGCCATTAAAATGTAATGAATTGATAAGCTAGTTAACAACAGTGATGTTCACAGTGATCATTAATAATATATCACTGTGGTTTTTAGTTAATTATATTTGAAGCTTATACTTACAAAGAAGTAATTTATATCACAAACAAAAATCTGATCTGAAATTAACCAATATAGTAAAGATGTAAATAATGACTGTAACATTCTCAGTCATTATTAGTCATTTGCCTCTCCCCCACTGGCACAGCGGTATGTCTGCGGACTTACAACGCTAGAAACCGGGTATCGATACCCGTGGTGGGCAGAGCACAGATAGCCCATTGTGTAGCTCTGTGCTTAATTACAAACAAACAAACTAGTCATTTAGATGCTCTTGAACATGGTAATCAGGTCCTTCTGTTTTGAAGAATTATAATCGGATTGATTTATAAAGTTTATTTATTAGTCAAAGCGTTTAAAACACTTTATACAAAGATTCTGAAATGAGACTTTAGAAGATGTTATTTGCCAGTTGCTTGGCAATTATACTTCTTCAAAGGGAATTCTTGGCAGTACATGAAGCAAACAACCAGTCTTATGTGTCATTTAAGTAAGCTACATCCCATTCTTTTTTAATGTCAATTTTATTAATATTATTTACAATGTTTAACACACACACACACACACACATATATATATGATATTCTAATTTTTATTAATTTCTCAATTATTTGTCACATATATATTTTAATTATGAGGACTGTTTTTCATTGTTAGCTTAATATATGGATTTAAGCCTGACATAAAACGTCTAAGCTGGTCGAATCTCGTGAAGTATTACTGGGATTATGGTCGAAAATATCGATAACTACGAGGGTATCCAATTAGTAAGTCAATGCATTCTAATCATTATATTTTTTTATTATTTTATGGCATTGCATAGCTCTAGTTAGACTGGTATATTAAATTAGCTGCATTAATTAGCGGGTTAATTTTGAGCTACATAAGTAGTTTGGTTTGATCAGAAGTTGTTGATAATAAGACTTTTAAATTTAATTTATCTTATCATAGTTTTGTTCTTGTGATATACTCAGTATCAAGTAACACATTCAAAATTTCTCAATTAAACATTCACTTTGATGGTTATAACAGAAAGATAACTTGTGCTGAATATTGACTGATTTTCAATCTTTCTTTTCAACCTGCCTAATCATGTGCTAGTTTTAAGAAATTATGCTTTTGTTTCTTATTTTATCCATTTATTTTTACATTTCCGAATATAATAAGTGTTGTTCATTAAATGTGTTAGGCCTAAGTGAATCAACGTGTAATGTTCCAAATTTTACTAGATGATCTAATAAATCACTCACTAATTATATTGTGTGTTTATTCCATCGGGATTATTCATGGGCGACGGGGGACAAATGTTTACTTGAGGGGGATCTGATCCGGAATTATTGTTGTTTCCCAAATGCCAGTCATCCGCCTCCTTTCCCAGATTTTCCTTGGCCCGCTAAAGAAACATGATATAATATATATAGATACATACATATATAATGTTATTAATAGTTTACGAATTGTCCGGGTAATTTAATATTAAGTTATGCTTTAAAGTTTAGAAAATACTAGTATGTAATATGGCAGTATCTACAACCAACAGATACTATATATATCGTTAGATCGTACTTTTGGTTTTATTGAGCAACATCAAGCATCAAATGATCTACAGGGACGAAGTTTATCGCTAAAATGCAGTTATATGCCAAATCACTGAGAGCTGACCGTACTTCTCCTTTTAATAAGCTATCATATAATTCCTAATTTCTTTATAAATGCAAAAAAACATGACCCTAATTTAGCAAATACAAACACAGCCATTTTAGATATTAAACTGTTTTTTTTGTAGTTGTATTTATATTTCCCTGACATACTGCACTAAGAAAATCTACAACAGAAATTGATATTTTGCACTCAAAGCAATATTTGTTCTTCAAGATAAAATTTCAAAGTAAACCATTGCATAGACACTTTTTTTTACTTCAAGCAAATTTTCCCACCATATAATTAAGTAAAGTTTCAAACTAAGCTGTATCTTACACACACACTTTTGTTATATTTCAAAGTCAAATAAACTTCATCTTCAATATATATATTTTCGTGTACCATTCAACTGAAAGTCAATATTTGTTAGCTTGTGCGAAAGTAATTGATGAGACATTTATGTGCTATATATGTTATTATTATTTCAATTTATCAGTTTTCAAATGTTTATTTTTTCCGATATATTTTATTATAGTAAACAAAATTTCAGTCTCTGTGAACGAGATTAAATAACAGAATATGCGTGACACTTACCTCTTTATCTTCTTTCTCTTCCTCCTCTTCAGCAGCAGTGAGTTCCTGGGCATTGGCCAAGTTGTCCACGGCGATAGCCAAGAAAACATTCAGAAGAGTGTCTTTAGTTAGGCTTAGAAAAATGTTTGCAACCAGACTTCAAACACATGCTGAAATAATGTCTGCTAAATGGTCTCCGAAATAACACAGTATTCACACATTACATACATTAGTCCCTATGGTTTATTGTAACACTTGTCGTAACAATCTTTTGTCACACTAAAAAAAATTGAATACAGAATTTTCTAGTTAATTTAGATTTCGGAAAATGGCAAATATATCTATAATGATTAAACCCGTATCGTATTTTAAAAATATTTGCTGTATATTTCAAATTATTATTGGAAAATCACGCGTTAAACTACCGGCACCATTAACTTCTTAGGGTTAAACTAAATATTAATTGGAGAAGTGAATATATTGAGAGCAAGTTAATAATTTGAGGAGAGGCGAAATAAGGCAAAATTCTCTTGATTAAAAAAAAAAAGTTTTACATGAATAATCACTGTAACAAATCCTTAATCACCCCTCAGTTCTATGACTGATTAGAAAAAAGGCTTAACACGAGTCATCACAATCACAAGTCCTTAATCATCCCTTAGTTCTGTGCCCGGCATGGCCAGGTGGTTAGGGCGCCCAACTT